CATGTATCCCAGGACTTAGAGTAAAATAAAAACTTTTTAAAGAAATACATTTTTAAATAGAAAAAAAATACCAAAAACCCCAGGAAATTTTGCAAAACACAAATATAATGTTTAATCATATAAAAATATAATCTTAAAACGATTTAACTTAATGGGTAAGTTAAATAGCAGATTGAAGTCTGAAGAAATAATATATGAACTTAAAAACAGAACAAAGGCCATTGATCTATTTCAATCTAAAACATACAACACAGATATTAAAAGGTGGAAAAACCTGAAAGAGAGGTTAAGGGTGGTACGAAATAAATAGTCATGTGCTGCATAAAATTGTTTCAGTCAATGGTGGACCACATATATAATGGTGGCCTCATAATATTATAATGGAGCTGAAAGATTCCTATTGCCTAGAAACATTCTAGCACATGTATTATTCACGTTTGTGGTGATGTTGGTGTAAACAAACCTATTGCACTGCCAGTTGTATAAAAGTATAACACATACAATTATGTATAGTATTTAACACTTGATAGTGATAATAAATGATTATATTACTGGTTTATGTATTTACTATATTTTATCATTTTTTAAGAATGTACTCCTTATATTTATTTTAAAAATGTTAATTGTAAGACAGGCTCAGGCAGGTGCTTCAGGAGGAATTCCAGAAGAAGGCATTATGATCATAGGAGATGACAGCTCCGTGCATGTTACTGCCCCTGAAAGCCTTTCAGTGGTAGAAACACTGAGGTGAAATGCAGACTGTCAAAGTCAAAGAAAAGACTGTAAAAGTAACATGAGAAAAAATATCCTCCCACAAAGGACCAACAGCATACTCTTCAATGACAGCAATGGAAGGTAGAAAACAATACAACAGTATTTTCAAAGTGTTGAGAGGAAATTGTCAATGTAGAATTCCATATTAAGCTAAATCATCAATAACAGAATAAAATAGACATTTTCAGACAAATTGGGTCTACCACTAGCAGACCCTAATGAAAAAACTACCACAGGATATTCTTTAGAAATTAAACTGAAAGGAAGGAATATGATGCAAAAAGCAATAGCAAGCAAGAAATTTGTAAATAAATGGACACAAACATTGACAGTATTAAAAAAATAGTGATGACTACTCGGAGGGTATAAGCCAAAATTAACAAAAATACTGTATAAAAATTATATGTAAAATGGGCAAAGTATGGTAGAATTAAAGTGTTTTAAGATCCTTGATTTATTTGAGAGGAAAATAAAGATATCAATTAATTTTGGACTTACAGTATAAATGTCAAAACTGTAAGGGTAAAAAGAGAAATATAATATGTAACTTCCAAACCAGTAGAGGGAAAGAAAATGTAAAACATTATCACTATCCATATTTTAAGGAACATGAAACCAAGGCCTATTAAAACTAACTGACTTGACAAAGTTTACCCAGACAGTAACTAGGAGAATGTGACTAATTCATGTCTTTCAATGCCAAGTTCTGTGATTTTTTTTTTTTTTGCCTTCTATGTTATATAGTCTCTGATCTAGGTGATGTATTAAAATAACAGTGTGTTACCCATATGTCCAATCTAATAAGGCAAAAATCTCACACTGTTGCAAGAATTTCTTTGTTTTAAATAGCACTTTGGTAAAAGTGCTGTGGATTTACCTAGCAATTCTCTTATTTCTCATTTCCATTTCATTCTTACCTGCCCTCTTCACTCATTAATTCCTACATTTTCCATGTAATTCTTCTCCTAGACTCTAAGTTCTATTGTTTTTCTCTTTTCTTCCTTCCCATTTCTTATTTTTAAAATTCGGTGCATGTCTAACACACACACACACACGTACCAAATAGTAAACATGTCTAATATTTTTGTATCACATATTTACTTATTTTTATTTAAATCTCAATATGTATGCTATGGAGAGTGACAGATTCTAAATGCATTTTTGTTGGGATATAGTTTATTTGAAAGATTTCACAAGTTACAAAAGACAGTAGTCCCACTCTGGGAGGCTGAAGCGGGTGGATCACCTGAGGTCAGGAGTTCGAGACCAGCCTGGCCAACATGGTGTAACCCTGTTTCAACTAAAAATACAAAAATTTGTTGGGTGTGGTGGTAGGTGCTTGTAATCCCAGCTACTCAGATGGCTGAGACAGGAGAATCACCTGAACCTGGGAGGCGGAGTTTGAGGTGAGCTGAGATAACACCATTGCACTCCAACCTGGGCAACAAAGAGCAAAACTCCGTCTCAAAAAAAAAAAAAAAAGACAGTGGTCCCCTGCTTTCTCACTGAAACAAGTATGTGCTGTCAAAAAACACTGTAGAACTATCTGTGGTAACAATCTAGTCTGCAAATCTTAGCAGTGATAATATGGTTCCATGGCAAGCTGATGCTAGGGTCTTATCTCTACAGTACTATTCTATCTTGAAGCCATGTGGTGAAATCTTCAGGGTGTTCCCAAGACAATGCTTCAAGCTCTGGACTCTGTAGTCATGCTAATCACTGTTACTGATATACTCTTCCCCATCTAGTCTGAATAAAGATATTTCTGCAATATTTCATGGGGCAATAAAACTTCAGGATATATGTATAGAAAATAATGTAAGTCTCTTGAAATCAAATTTCAGTCTCCTAGCACACAACTTGGCAGATGTTGGCAAACAATATAAAATCAAGTTCATAGAAACTTTATTTATTTTGAGCCAGGGTCTTGTTTTGCCACTCAGACTGGAGTACTGTGGTGCAATCATAGCTTGCTGCAGCCTTGAACTCCTGGGCTCAAGCGATCCTCCCATCTCAGTCTCTCCAGTACCTGGGACTACAGGTATACATCATGACGCCTGGCTAATTTTTCAATTTTTTAAAAATAGAGATGTAGTCTCATTTTGTTGCCCAGGCTGGCCTTGAACTCCTGGGCTCAAGTGATCCTCCTGCCTTGGCCTGCCAAAGTACTGGAATTACAGGCCTGAACCACCATGCCTGGCCCAGAGCAATTTTAACATAGTCCAGCTTACTGTATTCTTCCATTGGCATTATCAATCCAAATATCTAAATTGTAAATTTACCCCTGAAAAGAGCTGTATATCTATTATAAAGAAATAAATAGCATTTCATACCATGAAATGAATCTCTAGGATTATAGTATTACAGTGGTATTACAGGCAATATCTGAAGTCACAGAAACTTGGGATAATTGAAACCTAAACCAATTTAGACAATTGCTCCTCTAACCAAAAAAATACAGTAAGTTGGGTGTGGTGGCTCATGACTGTAATTCCAGCACTTAGACAGGCTGAGGCAGCAGGATCACTTGAGCTCAGGAGTTTGAGCCTGCAGTGAGCTATGATGCCTCCACTGCACTCCAGCCTGGGTGACAGAGCAAGATCCTGTCTAAAAATATAAATTAAAAAGTAAGACAAAGTAAAATAACTATAGATGCAAAGAGCAAGTATGTAAACAAAACAAAACAAAACAAAACGTAGATTTGCTTGTTTTATTTCTCTTTCTTCATTCCTAAAAGCAAATGTCTCCATTGTTTTCCTCTCACCCTGCTTTAATCCAAAAAAGCAGCTAGAAAAAAATAAAAACCTTTTAGACCTTGAAATAATTCACCTTCAAGTAACCAAAACTGTGTTGTTTTACAATCATTTATTACTAATAATTAACAAGTCAATCAAGCTCAAATAGAATTTCTTCTTTTACAAGCTCATGGAAATAGGATAATTATTAAGAAAAAACCTCACTTAATTGGGCAGCTGAAGATTTTTGGAGGAATACTCTTTGTAGTAGTGAAAACAAAAATAATGCACTGTACTTGAGCAGACAGGGCAACAGGTAGAAGGAGGAGGATAAACGGAGAATTACAGGTAAAGGATTAACAAGCAGAACAGTCAACTGTGTGGTCTCAGAAATGGTGCTAGTAAATTAGAGATGTAATTTCATGACTTCATGGAGACAGAAATGGGCTATGTAGGAGCTGAAGCCCTTATTCTCACAGTGAAAAGTACAAAGCTCTGTCAGCTGATTTACAAAGCATCGTTATTAATGCCAGAGTCAGGATGCGGGAGACAGCAATGAACACCCAGCAGTACACTATGATACATCAAATAAGATTATAAGATAATAAATAAAATGATGAAGCTAGTTTCCTTGGCATTGTTTTGGAGAAGGTCCTCTGGAATGCAGTTATTCTGGATTCTAAGAATCACTTAAGTGGTGAACAGTTATAGAAGTGATTAGCACTTTTCTAGGCTTGGAGACCTGTCTCCATAAAAGATCAGAAGAGCCTAAGAATAAAAAACTGCAAAAATAAGTCAGCTTGAGTCACAAGTCTGTTCCCTCTCCTTCCTCTTTAAAGAGGAAGGAAAGGGATACTCTGTTTGCTTTTGCAAAGAATCCTCTGTTCTTCCCCCTCTGGTTTTTTTTTTTCCTTTCCTTCTCTATTTTGCTACAGGGTGGTCTTGAAACACTCTTTCCTCTACTCCCTGAGTATCTGTCTCCTATGGCATGTAGAACAGAAGCCTGAACAACTACATGGGACTTGCACTTCATAGTCAGTCAACATATTTTCCTGCTCATACAAAGTCAAGAGTCTACTATGTCCAACAGCTGAAAACTGCAGGAAGCTCAGAGAGCAACATTGGTCAATGTCCCTGCTCCCAATCACTTCAATAATTTATTGCAGATCCATTCTCAGGGTTTTCTTTGAAATCACTCACAACCAAACCAAAAAGGTATAAATTAGGGGAAAAAAAAGATGTTTATTAGAAGAACAAGTAGTTGGCAGAAAACAGGAAATAAAACAAAGCAAATAAAAGAGATAAAACTGAAAACTCACAAATCATATTACAAAACAATATTCTGTTGACATTTAAATAAAGTAATCCCATGGCAACAATTCAACTGCTGCCTTTTTGCCTGGAATCCCAGATTTCTCTGGTTTGGGACTGGAATTTCATTTTTCTGTGTACTTAGTGCTTCATATTGAACCAATAATATTGACTACGTACTTGTGCTTGCTTGCATACTTTAAAAGGCTGAAGTGTTTCCTGGTAGAAAAGCTGATGATAAGCCTGCAGGTCAAACCAAAAGTACACACTGTTCTTCCACAACTACAGATGGAAAAAGTACATCCATTATTACCATCCAATTATTAAAGCTCTTACAAAGTTCTAATTTCAAATATAAATAATTGTTTAGCTCCTTGCTGTTACCATAAATCAGGTTCAATTTAAGATGGTTTTAATCTTCTACCACAAACTGGCAATACACAAAATATTTATTGATATTGTTACTGGAATATTATATTTTTGCATGTATGCCTCTCACATAATTAGTCATTAAAATATTAAGTATTCTACTTAACAGCTAAAAATTAACCACATATTTCTGGCATGAAACCAAAATGTAAAAGTATTTTGATATATATGGGCAAATGTCTATTACAGCAGAATGAGACATTACTCTAGTAATTGAACCAGTTAAATACTTCTCTCTCGCCCAGACTGGAGTGCAGCAGCATGATCTCAGCTCACTGCAACCTCAGCCTCCCAGGCTCAAGCAATTCTCCCGCCTCAGCCTCCCGAGTAGCTGGGATTACAGGCACGTACCACCATGCCCAATTAATTTTTGTATTTTTAGTAAAGATGGGGTCTCACCATGTTGGCCAGCCTGATCTTGAACTCCTGACCTTAACTGATCCACCCACCTTGGGCTCCCAAAAGTGTTGGGATTACAGGCATGAGCCACCATGCCCGGCCAATACTTTTCATTTGAGCAAAAGTAAGACTAGCTTTTTAAAAAATTTTGAAAAACCAACTGGAAATAATTTTGCCACTATTCATTGTAATTTGTCATTGTAGGATGAACCAAAGAGAATTATAATTGACATGCTTAAATATTTACTAAATATTAAATATGAATTTTCTTATAGATGGGAATTTTAACATCAAACATAATTATGTGAGCACTGAACTATTTCAATGTCTCTTATTTTTAAATGAAGTAAAATTATAAAATTAAATTTTAAATAATTATTTTCTACCTTGTTCCCTGAATGCTCGCAGAATTTAGTAAAGAAGAATCCAGCTCTATTTTCCACATACAAAGATTGCAACAAATTTTCCATGTCAAATCCTCCCAAGGCACCAACATCTGACATGGTTTTAACCTAGATAACAAAACAGAAGTCTATTATCCACCCAAAAACAGTGTAATTTTTTTATGGCATTACATAATAGGATTTCATAAATTCTACCATGCTGTCATTTTCCCACTGGACTATTTTATTTTTATACCATGTACATAATTAATGCAGTATGTTTACATTTGAGAGTCATATAAGATTCATTTGTGGAGTCCAACTATAGCCACTGAATACATTCTATTATAAACCAATCTGATTTTAAACTGAACGTTGAAGCAACTTCCCAGCCTCAATTATTTTCATGTTTTAGGCAAAGTAAGACCATTTTAGTATTCCAAATCCTTGTTAGTTGGCCTCTTTCATACATATTTAGTGTTATTTTAGCCTTGAAGTGCTGCAATTATAGCTACAGAGGGATATGATGAGAACTATCTCCAAAGCCTCTCAGTGCTGCTCATTAACTGTTCTTACGGGATCCCCCTTCGGACAGTCTCACCCTGTATAGGTCACGGCCTGCACAGTGCAAATGGCAGTAAAAGTTCTCATTAAACTTTGGTTTTTATAAGCTTCTCTGCCAAAAGTGCTGGCAACCCTCATACAATTTTTGAAACATAGAAAGCTGGCTATTTCTCCAAGCACAAGAGTGACTTCAGAATATGAAAAGGCATCTACTTCCGTTAAACTCTTCGCTATTTGTTTTGTAGAACTCATAGACTACTTCTTTGTAACAAGACAATAATGGTATGAAAAATTTAGGGTTTAAGTAAGATTCTCACTCTCCTTTTGTCCTACTGTCTCTCCATCTCTCCACCTCTCTATCTGCCTGCTAAACAAATTCTGAAGTGAGAATTTAATGTTTTTACTATGTTTAACTATCAGCATCCCAAACTAAAAAAAAAAAACATTATTTTTGTAGGAAAAAAATCCTAATTAAAAGAAATGGGGTACTATTTGCTTAGAATAAAATAGCTAAGTGTTCAGACTGTATTGGGACTCCCAAGGTTTCTACCTAAACTATAATCCTTAGGGAATGTGAAGTTTTCATCTAGAACTAGTGCATTAAATCCACATCATGAGGGTAGCTGTACTGTGGAAACATCCTGCCCTTTAAAAATTCTAGGCTTCTAAAACATAACATCAAATACTGTTTTTCTTTCAAGTGTTAAAAATTGGACAAAAATATGATAGGGTCTTATTCTGGGTCTGAAGTGTCAACATAACAAAACCAGAACATCATTGTGTTTGAACACAGTAAACAATGCAGTACATAGAACCATGGTACTACAAAGGGAAAACACAGGGGAAATATTTGTGTAAAAATCCTTTGGCAAGGAAAAAAATCAAACGTGTGTTGCTTGGTAAAGAAAAACTGTTGTGGTATATCAATAAAAATTCTCTAAAGTCAGGAGATATTGACCAGTTAAATGAAGAATCAGGTTATTCAGTCCTCAAAATACTCACCTTAGGTTCTTCTGTATAAGTGAATCTTCTATCCAGCTGGGGCTTGAGACATTCAGAAATGTCCATAAAAGATGTTAAATGAATGATGTTGCTGCTTTCTGACATGCTCTTTGACCTAAATTATAAGAATGAGATCTAAAATGGTAAGGATGAGAACTAACTGATCAACAAACAAATTTTCAGCACTTTCGGCATATGTGGTACCAAATCTTAAGAGTACTTCTGAGCAATGTGACTCAGGACAAAAAGGATAAGCATCAGTTCTAGCCCTGAAGTGGTGGTTCAGAAAATGAGGCACAGTTATACCAGAATGACAGTTCCCAAAATAACTGCTTAGATGAATTTAAGAGATCTTATTACAGATTCCCAATGACTGGGATGGATAATAAATACTTTGAGAGGGTAAGAATGAGAAATTCCTTCAACCTGTATTAGTAATTTAAAAATAAAATTTTTCCTGAAAAATTAGAAGGTGATATATTCTGTGTATACACCTGGGTACGTAGATGTGTTTTAAAGGGGCTCTTTAGGTAGGAAAATAGTGAGCAATAAACGAAGGTGGGTATGGAAGTCCCCATTTAAAAGGCAGCAAAGGTCGTTTGCTTAGGGCAAGAAGGCACTAACATTAAAAAGTGAACACTATATACTACATACCAAACACTGTGCTAGATATAATTCATATTGTAATATTTAATCCTCACAGCGGTAAGATTCATAGGGAATTATACAGATTAGGTTGGGGTACGATAATGGAAGATGTTGGAGTTAGACTAATGACTTTGGACATTGTTTTCTCTTTTTTTATCCAGCTTGCTCTCCCACATCCACACTGCAATTATTCTAAAGCCTTATTTTCTAGCTCCATAAACATGGCTATTCTACCTTGCCAATATGCCTCTACTCCAATCCACCAGCAGATTACCTTGCAGGTTCTTCTCACACACAAAAAAAACATACTTCAGTTTTCATTCCCTCATGGAGCAGAGTGGCATGCTTCTGGATACAGTACCACTGAGATTCTGAAAAAGCTAAACATTAACCTTCTAAGATTCTCTTGCAGAGAGACATAGCCATGAGACACAGATGTGACTAATAAGATACAAAATGAAATGTGCTAGGGGAGATTCTGAGAAAGCTTGCTTTCCTGACAAGAAGGAAAGGGTTAATGGAAATTACCCTTCCTCCTCCTTTCTGACTTGGAGGCCTGATGTTAGGAGCTGCAACACTGCTGATCATGAGGGAAAGGCCAAAAGCATCACAAAGATTAAGGCCCTAATCCTTCTGATCTATTGTACCAACACTGGGAATCGCCTACTATCAGATTTCTTGTTACATGAGAAAAATTAAGTCAATTCATCGAAGCCATTGTTAGTCAGGTTTTTGTAATTTGCAGCTGAAAGCATTGTTGATATGAACAACAAACATATCCACCCAGACCCATCCTTACTTCTTTCCGTATTGTTTCCAGAAGAGGTGCCCCACCCCCTGTCCATGATCAGCAAACAAATTTTCAGCACTTTTGGCATATGTAGCACCAAATCTTAAGAGTACTTCTGAGCAATGTGACTCAGGAAAAAAAGGATAAGCAACAGTTCTAGCCCTGAAGTGGCGGTTCAGAAAATGAGGCACAGTTATACCTCACAGTTGTATCAAGGGAAGAGTTAATCTCATTCCCTTGCTCTTGAACCTGTCCCTCTACTCTCCTTTGAATATGGAGACTTCCTTTTTTCTCATATATCTTCAGCTTCTCCATTTCCTCCAGATTCTATTCTATGCAAATCAACAGATTCAAGTCTTCACCTTAAAAATACTCTTTCTGATGAGAACATAAACTTTTAGCCAGACTAACCAAGAAAAGCCTTTCGTGGCAGGGCACGGTGGCTCATGCCTATAATACCAACACTTTGGAAGGCCGAGGTGAGTGGATCACTTGAAGTCAGGAGTTCAAGACCAACCTGGTCAACATGATGAAACCACGTCTCTACTAAAAATACAAAAAATTAGCCAGGTGTGGTGGCAGGTGCCTGTAATCCCAGCTACTTGGGAGGCTGAGGCAGGAGAATCACTTGAATTCATGAGGCAGAGCTTGCAGTAAGCCAAGATGATGCCACTGCTCTCCAGCCTGGGCAGAGTGAAACTCTGTCTCAAAACCCTGCCCCCAACAAAAACCCTTTAGCTAAACTAACCAAGAAAAGGAGAAGACTTGAATTACTTAAATCAGGAATAAAGGAGGATACCTCAAAAACAACCTTACAGAAATTAAAAGGATTATGAAGGAATATTATGAACAACTATATGCAAACAAATTAGGTAATCTGATGAAATGAACAAATTCCTAGAGGGACACAAATTGCCTAAAATTACTCAAAAAGACAGAAAACCTGAATAGACCTATAACAAGTAGAGACTAAATCAATAATTTCAAATCTCCCCACACAAATAAAAGGCCTGGGTCCAAAAGTCTTCACTGGTGAACTCTATCAAATACTTAAAGAAGAACCAATACACATTTCTTCCCAAATTCTTACAAATTAGAAGGGGAGGGGATACTTCCCAACTCATTCTGCTTTTTTTTTTTTGTTTTGTTTTGTTTTGCGAGTCTCACTCTGTCACCCAGACTGGAGTACAGTGGCATGATCTGGGTTCACTGCACCCTCTGCCTCCTGGGTTAAAGGTATACTCCTGCCTCTGCCTCCCAAATAGCTGGGATTACAGACACGTGCCACCATGCCCAGCTAATTTTTGTATATTTAGTAGAGACGGGATTTCACCATGTTGACCAGGCTGGTCTCGAACTCCTGACCTCAAGTGATCCACTCACCTTGGCCTCCTGAAGTGCTGGGATTACAGGCGTGAGCCACCATGCCCCACCTAAAATTCTTCCTTCCCTTGGCTCCCATGACAGCACTCTTTCCTTATTTGTACATCTCCCATCTCTTAGATTACCCTTTCTTGGTCTTCTCTTCTAGTTCCTTATTTTCTGCCTTTACTGAAAACCTTGATAACTTAGTTCTCATCATGTACTGCTCTTTCTCTCTCTCATGACCATCTCATGTATGCCCACAGCTTCAACTACTCACTAAAGTGTAATGCTTCCTCAATTTTCTACTTGTAATTGATCTCTCTCCTGGGCTCCACACCTATATTTCAACTGTTTTGAATATGTATATCCCAATATATATCTGAATATAGTTTTAAATTTTTTATTGAGATAAAATTCACATTGTCAACACACAAAAAATTTTGATGTAGAGAAACTGAAACCCAATATAGTTTCATCTCAACCCTGGAGTATTGTCTGGGCATAGTGGCTCATGCCCGTAATCCCAGCACTTTGGGGGGGGTGGCAGGATTGCTTTAGGCCAGGAGTTCAAGACCAGCCTGGGCAACATAGTGGAAACCACATCTCTACAAAAAAAAATTAGCCAGGCATGGTGGCTAATGGTAGCACACACCTGTAGTCCTAGCTACTTGGGAGGCTGAGGTGGGAGGAGCACTTGAGCCAGGAGTCCAAGGCTACATGCCATAGCAGTCCAGCCTGGGCAAGAGAGTAAGAGGCTGTCTCAAAAAAAAAAAAAAAAAAAAAAAGTACTTCAGGCTCTATATTCCTTAATTCAACAAATATTAATTGAACACATACTATGTGCCAGACACTGTACTACACACTGGAACATTCACCTAGGCAGCACCACAAATTAAAATTATCTGCCTCCTCCAGTCCTGCTTTTCCTTCTTCTAAGAATAACAAGTTCACAGAAAATAATGTAGAAATAGTTCTTAAACATATTTTAAAATGTTCAACTTCAGTCAAAATAAGAAATACTGTTTTAAAAATATATCTGCTTAGCAAGGGTAATACATACTATGTTGCTGAAGGAATGGTTAAAAAAAGGCACTCTTATACATGCTGAAGGAAGTATAAGTTGTTACAACTCCTATGAAAGACAATTTGATATTATCTAGCAAAATTTTAAAAGCAAATGAACTTTGACTCAAGAATTCTACTTTTAGGAATTTATCATATATATGATATATATGTTCAACAAATATTAATTGTTGAATTAATGTTGAATAATTCAACTTTCCTCTGAACTCATGCCTATATGTCTTTTCACTTGTTTCCTCACCTAAAAAATGAAGACAATGCTTTCTTTATGGGAATATATGTGTATGTGTGTGTATACATATGAAATATAACAATGTATAAGAATATCCACTATAACATTGTTTGTAACAGAAAAAATTAGAAACAATGTCATGTCCATCAATAGAGTACAAATACAAGGTATGATATAAAGTGAAAGAAGCAGACATAGGAGGAGGCAAGATGACAAGAGTAAGAATCAAAATAGATTATGGTATATCTATTGCTATAGTACAATCACTGCTATGGAAAAAAATCAAAGATATTTTAACAAAAAATTAAAATAAAATGACAAGCCATAAAATAAATGTATAGCATGCCACTATTTTTAAGCTATATTTATATTTCTAATTTTTAAAATAAAACAATTTCAGTAGTGACACACAAAAACTCCCCAGTTGTTCTTAAATTCATGGAGAATAATCTCCAGATTCCCTAATGTGACAGATAAGAAATTTCACATTCTGAACCTTACTTATCTTTTCAGCTTATCTCCCGCTTTTTTACCGTAATACTGTATACTCTAGCCATAATGGTGTATAGGTTTCAAAATGCAACTTTTCTGTCAACTCATGCCCATATGTCCTTTCACTTGTTTCATCACTTGAAAAATGAAGAAATAAAGGCATCTGAGTGCTAACAATGTAGTCAAGAATAACTGAGTGAAAACCCAGAGGTTAAGAATTCACAGAAGTGACTTTGGCATTTGAGGCTGCTATTTCCTGAAGGTTAGCTTATAATGAGAGTCAAAGACACTGATAAACCCTTTATACTTTTTTTTTTTTTTTTGAGATGGAGTCTCACTCTGTCACCTAGGCTGCTGTGCAGTAGGATGATTTGACTTACTATAACCTCTGCCTCCCAGGTTCAAGTGATTCTTGTGCCTCAGCCTCCCAAGTAGCTGGTACTACAGGTACGTCCCACCACACCCAGCTAATTCTGTTTGTTTGTTTATTTGTAGAGACAGAATCTCACTGTTACCTAGGCTGGTCTCAAGCTCCTAGGCTGAAGCAATCCACCTGCCTTGGCCTCCCACAATGCTGGGATTACAGCCCTGAGCCACCATGTCTGGCCAGTAACAATGATAATATTCTTGAGAGTCTTATGAGTTCTCAAATCTGAGAAATGTTGAATTATTGAATAGAGCCAAAAAAGAATTAGAGGGCAATCTTCTCAGAGAAGTCTTGAGAAGCTAGAGATCAGAGGCATCGTCTCTAAAGTTACTAATATCTGGAACCCTACTCCTAATTTAGAGTATTCATGCAAAGAATAAGCCTATAATATATATCACTGGAATATGAAGAACCTACGTACAAATATCTAAGTACTAGTTTTTAATTTCTGTTTAGTTTTAAAATTCTCTAAAAAGCTTAGCATTGCAGAAAAGCTCTTGACACACAAAAAGCTGCACCTACCCCTTCTCAGTCACATACTTAGAAGAACCTGGATACAAAATCTCCCTCTTCCAAGACTTTTGAGTTGCTGTATTTACTCCAGGTGTTTTCTTGGGAGATTTAGGAGGTTGTGATAAGCTGAATTCTTCTTTCTAAAAGATGGTAAAATAATGAGGAAAATGAAAATACGAGAGAGAAAAAAGCACAGCTCTGCACCTATACCTCAAATTTGTTCTGATCACTAGAGGACTTTTTCTTTCACTCTGCCTCCTACAATGCTTCTCATTAAAATAGGAATTTTATCCTTCTCCAACTCCCACTTTTACGCAACCAGCAAAGTGGAACTGAACAGCAATTTAGACTGTAAAACGGGAAGAGCTGAAGGCTTATATATCCTTACTTGCATCACTGTGAAGGAACACTCTTTCCTGGAGAAAGAACGTTGCAAAAACGATTCTTTATTCTATAACTGAATAGGTATTAGAGCTAGACGTATGTATGTGTGGCAAGGGTGGGGCAGGTGGCAGTGTCAGCAATCACAGGGCAGGGAAATGAAACCATGCCCTGGTCCACATAAGAAGGGCTCTATAGCTTAACAGCACTATTTCCTTCCATTTTGGGGAATTTTTTTTCGTGGTTATTTTTCCCATTCTTAAAGAGTTATTTACAGTAAAAGTTAACAATTTAACTCCAGAATATGAGATGCATGGATTTTAAAAAGTATAAACAACCAAATGTCAAAATGGAGAATGGGATATACATAAATATGACATTATGTAATACTAAAAAGTAGTAGTGACAAAAATGATGATACACGTGGAAATATACTCATGATAAAAGAAATAATCAGGAACAAAAGTCTAAGTTTAGTAAAACAAAAAAATTCACGAAGAAGCCTAAAATGAAAGAAGTTAGTAGCTGTCTGGAAGTAGGTAAGATCAGAAGTGATTTGTCTCTTCTCCAGTTTCCACATTTACAGTAGTTTTATTATTTTTATAATTTCAAAAACAAACACACTTTTCTAACATGTCAACTTCCATTAGAATATTGCATATATTGCAAGAAAGTAAGGAATATACTTATGTTTTATTATCCAGAACAAACAATAAAACTTTATATATACTCTATATAGTAACTACTAATAATTTTTTAAGAATTCTATAAAGAAAATTAATAACAAGTATATTCTACATATAACTTCCCATATATAAGGGCTTACATCTGTTTTAGTGATTCAGAACACAGCATGATATTAAACAACACTCAATAAATGAGAGTCACCACAGGGGGCGGAGCTCATTATTTAAAGTATATAATACAAAAGTAGCCAAATTTATAGAAACAGAAAGTAGAGTGGAGGTTACCATGGGCTTTGGGGATGGGAAAAGGGAGAGTTGGTCTTTAATGGGCAGAGTCAGATTTGCAAGATGAAAAATTCTAGAGATCTGTTTCACAACATTGTGAATATAACTAAAACTATTGAACCCATACATTTAAAAATGATTAAGATGGAAATTTTTATGTTTTCTACCACAAGAATTTTGTTAAATTTTCTTAAAATAAAAAAACTAACATATCATACAGACTAAGGCCTGTATTAGACTTTTTGAGCTTGCTGGCCCAGGTGAGAGCTAGAGGTAGCCAGAAAGTAACTGATGAGGGTGGGTGGGGAAACAAAGTCAAAACAAAAAAACCTGAGAAAGAGTCACAGTAGGATTGTCGAGGAGGGAGGTATAAAGGAACTGCTGTATAGCATGATTGTGATGGTGGATACACAATGTATATATTTGTCCAAATTTACAGAACTATACACTTAAAAGGGTAAATTTTGCTGTATGTAAGTTATACCTTAATTTCTGTAATGGAAAAATAAGATGGAATTGAGTTCTATTCCTTATTTTCTGCCAAGGAGAGAGAGAGTGAGATCAGAATGAGTTGTCCAACTAGAAACATCAATGACAGCATATGTAATGATTTTCAGGAAGTCAGATGAAGACAACAGATGAGAAGCCATGTTTATACCACTTTTTCACACAAGCTTATCTCTGCCCACTCCTTTAGCATTGTTCTCTGATTCGAGTTCCTTTCATTAACCACGTCACTTATTTTTTCTTCCCCCTTTCTTTTCAGTTTGATAATGTTGTTTGTACAAATGTTTCTATGTTATCAGATGACGTGCTCCCTATACTACAGCTCCAAGATGAGGAAACATTTGTGCACTAAAGTGACACTAACTTAAAATGTGGTCCCCAGAGCAGCAGCAAGAGCATCACCAGGAAGAGAGTTTCTTAGAAATGCAAATGAATCCCTGTGTTCCACCCCAGAACTACTGGATTTTGATCTCTGGGTGAAGCCCAAGAATCTCTATTTTAACAAGCTCTTCAGCTGACTCTTCTATATGCTAAAGCTTGAGAACCACCAGTCTAAAGCATTGCTTTTTCACATATGAATCACCTGAGAATCTTAATAAATTGCAGGTTCTAAAATGTGGCTCTAATGTTCAGGAAGGGTTGAGAATGTCAGTTCTCAGCCAATCCCCTGATTTTACAGAGTGACCCTGGCCCATTGCAGATCAGTTAAATCAGAATCTCTGAAGGCGGGACCCAAGCATTGGTATGACTGAACAGTTCTTGAGGTGATTCTAATGTTTCCAGGGTTAAGAAACCACAGACAGGGTTAAGGTCCCTCCAGCTCTAAAACACTACTTGTAGAAGTAACACTTTAAAAACTGTAGCTGAGTGTGGTGGCTCACGCCTGTAATCCCAGCACTTTGGGAGGCTGAGGCGGGTGGATCACGAGGTCAAGAGATCAAGACTATCCTGGCCAATGTGGTGAAACCCCATCTCTACTGAAAATACAAAAATCAGCTAGGCGTGGTGGCACGTGCCTGTAGTCCCAGCTACTCGGGAGGCTGAGGCAGGGGAATTGCTTGAACCTGGGAGGTGGAGGTTGCAGTGAGCCAAGATCACACCACTGCACTCCAGACTGGTGATGGAGCGAGACTCTGTCCCCCCAAAAAAACACAAAAAACTGTATTATACATCTTCCTGCCTTTTAAAATAAGACATCCTAAATATAAAGCAATCCTTTCAAGAGGTTGTATGTGACTATACGGCCAATAACAGTGACCATGTGACACCTTTACAGGCTGCTATGATTAATAAGGCTCTTTACTTCTGAAACACAGGCCATATCTACAGTTATGGTATCTCTATGCCAAAATGTAGGGTTATTTATTTATCCTCTCTAAAGTTAACTATTCTTCTCTTTTTGATCTTTTTCCCCTTACATTTTTGTACTGTTTTCCCCATTTGAAAAAATGCTCATGACTTCTATTTCAGTTATTGCTACTTTTCACTCATTCATTCAATTTATACTTACTCAGCAACTATTATGTGCCAGGCACTGTTCTAGGCACTGGTGAATGTACTTAAAAAAAAGTTCTTTACATTCTAGTAGGAGGTAAAAGAAAATAAACAGATAAATCACATGGTAATAAATATAGTAAAGCAAAATAAAGCAGGGCAAAGGCTGTAGATAGTGATGGAGGGGGTGTGTGCTATTCTACCTAAGAGTGCTTATATAGAAATAATACGTCTCAAGAATAGCCTCTTTGATTACGTGATACTTGAGCAGACACCCTAAAGGAAGTGAGGGGAAAACCATGTGAATATCTGGAGGAAGAGTGATGTAATCAAGGCAAAACAGCAAGCACAAAGCCCTGGAGTTTTTTCTTTGTGTCTTCCAAGAAGAGCGAGGAGACCAGTGTGGTTGGAATGGAGTACGGTAGAGTGGTAGGAAAGGAAGTCAGAAGGTTAGCAGGGGCTTATACAACTGTGTAAAGACTGTGGATTTTATTTTGAGTGAAAAAGAAGACCACTGGAGAATTCTGAGGAGATGAGTGACATGATTATGTGTTTTTAAAGGCTCACTTTGGCTGCTTGGTAGAGAACAGACTGTGGGTTTTCCTGTTTCCTAAGTGTTGCAGCATGACATTAGTAACAATCACAACAAAGCTTTGATGAACATTATCAGGTACAAACAGTCAAGTATATATATTTTACTATAAACTTAGTTGGTATCAAGGCATGAATGTCTACTCTACCTGGATCTCAGGTATCTGTGGAATGCAAGTTTTGGGTCTTAATGGCAAGAGGGTTGCCATTTGTGGAAAAGGGTCAATGTCCTTCCTTGGTTTTGTTTGACGGAGGTGCCAGAATTTCAGTTCAGCAGTAGCATATTTTGTTGAGGCTGAATGAGTAACACAGAATCTTGGTGCCCTGTTTATTGGAAAAATAAATGTAAGATTGAACTAAACAATAAGTCTCAAAAATGAAAAGCCTACAAATACATAATAGCTGTGCTCACAATTACCAGTCTTGCTATACCCCTTTTCTAATAACCTCTACTTCTTTTTCTACTGCCTAGCCTTGAAAAAATATTTTTCTATGATATGTCAGCTGCCTGCAATCCCATTCACTCATATAAAAAGGCAATATACATTGGGGAAAAAAATCATAAGTAAAATTATGTTCAAATTATTAGCTGCTTGACAAGAAAACTAAAAATACAAAAATTAGCTGGGTGTGGTGGTGGGCACCTGTAATCCCAGCTACGAAGGATGAGGCAGGAGAATCACTTGAACCCGGGAGGTGGAGGTTGTAGTGAGCCTAGATCACACCATTGCACTCCAGCTTGGGCAACAAGAGTGAAACTTCATCTCAAAAAAAAAAAAAAAAGAAAAGAAAAGAAAAAGAAATCTATCTATCCATAAAGGAATTTTTAAAACAACTTACGGTTTCTAGTAAAATAAATATAAAATGTACATGTGATCATTTTAAAGCACTTTGGCATTTATCTATAATAAAAATTGGTAGAATAAAATTAACATTTAAAATACAATTTTTATAACACTTTAGTATGCTACTAAAGTAGGTTATAATGCATATTATTTATTGTCAAGCCTTAAATTTGAAGGTAAGAATTAATTTTACAACAATTTATATAAATCAAAGACCAACATTATTGCCAGAAACGTAGGGAAAAGAATGTCTGGCACAGTATCAAGGCCACACTTAATTGGATGGATATCATAGTATTCAGTATGTAGGCTAACTTTTTAGTGGAAATAGGGTTAACTCCAGCTGTAAGAGCCTGCTGCTAATTGCTTCTTGGACCAGGTCTTCCCCTTGATGCTACAGCCCAAAGGCTAATTTTCATTCCATATTTCAAGGCCTGGCAGAAAATTACATCCCCTTAAAATAGGAAGAATGATTAAGCATGATGGCTCATACCTGTAATCCCAGCATTTTGGGAAGCCACAGTGGGAAGATTGTTTGAGGCCAAGAGTTCAAGACCATCCCGGGCAACATAGTAAGACCCTCTCTCTACAGAAAAATTTTTTAAATTAGCTGAGCATGGTGGCATGTAAGTCCTACCTACGTGGGAAACTGAGGTGAGAGAATCACTTGAACTCTGGAGTTCCAGGCTGCAGTGAGCCATGACTGTGCCACTGCACTCCAGTCTGACTGACAGTGAAACCTTGTCTCTAAAAAAAAATTAAAGTTTTTTAAAAATAAAGTAAAATAGGAAGAAGATGGATATCTCTCCTGATATGAACACAGATTGAGAATGAAAAAGAATCCAAAGTCCATAATTAGTTTAGGATCAGAACTGTGGTCATTCGATACCATATTTCAGAACCTTTACTTGCAGACTTGGAAATATTCAAAATTACTTATTTGCATGTCAACCAGTAAGTGGGCAGATCTATAGACTTTTATCAAATAAATCATACACAGGATGGCTGGCAGAACTCCTCACGGCCCATGGTGATGGTGGCTATGGGGTAAGGCTCCTCCACCTTTGGAAAGGGGAGGGAACAGTGGGAAGCACTGTGAATTATAGTTTGAGTGTCAGCTCAGCCACAGTACAATAGAACAACAGGTAGACTTATAAGGTTTTTGACTCTAGTCCCTGACTCCTGGATGGCACCTCTGGACTGACCCAGGGCCTGCAGGAACTCACCACCCTGAAGGGAAGGACACAAGCCTGGCTGGCTTTTCCACATGTTGATTGTAGAGCCCACGCATTGAGCAAACATACCCCTAGCCAGTGTTTACAACAGGGCTTGGGCAAGACCCAGTGCTGTGCTGGCTTCAGGTCTGACCCGGCAGAGTCATAGTGGTGGTGGCTGCAGGGGTGCTGTATTAATCCATTCCCAGCTTTAGGTGGCTCAGAACAGAGACAGAGAGACTCTGGGAGAAAGTAAGAGAAAAGAACGGGAGTCTCCCCTTGGGATTTAGAGGTTTCTCCCAGATATTGTCTGAGACCATCCAGGAGGTACACTATGAGTCTGCAAAAACAACAGCATTACTAACCTTAGGGTTTCCCCGAAAGCAGATATCGCTTATCACAATACCCAAATCTTTTCAAATATCTGGAAACCTTCCCAAGAAGGATGCGTACAAACGAGCCCAGATAGTGAAGACTACAATATATACCTGATATGGTCTGGCACTGTGTCCCCACCCAAATCTCACCTTGATTTATAATAATCCCTACATGTCATGGGGGGGACCCAGTGGGAGGTAACTGAATCATGGGGGCACATCTTTTCCATGCTATTCTCCTGATAGTGAATAAGTCTCACAAGATCTTATGGTTTGATAAATGAGAGTTCTCCTGCACAAGCTCTTTTGCCTGCTGCCATGTAAAATATCCCTTTGCTCTTCCTTTGTCTTCTGCCATGAGTGTGAAGCCCCCCCCAGGCATGTGAAACTGTGAGTCTATTAATCCGCTTTCCTTTATATATTACCCAGGCTTGGGTATGTCTTTATTAGCAGCATGAGATGAACGAATACAGTATATTGGTACCAGTAGAGTGGGGTGCTGCTGTATAGATACCTCAAAATGTAGAAGCAACTTTGGAACTGGTTAACAGGCAGAGGTTGGAACAGTTTGGAGGGCTCAGAAGAAGGCAGGAAAATGTGGCAAAGTTTGGAACTTCCTAGAGACTTGTTGAATGGCTTTGACCAAAATGGTGATAGTGATATGGACCCAGTTTGAGGTGGTCTCAGATGGAGATGAGGAATTTCTTGGGAACTGGAGCAAAGGTGACTCTTGCTATGTTTTAGCAAAAAGACTGGTGGCATTTTGCCCCTGCCCTAGAGATCTGTAAAACTTTGAATTTGAGAGAGATGATTTAGGGTATTGGGGGAAAAAATTTTAAGCAGCAAAGCGTTCAAGAGGAAGCAGAGCATAAAAGTTCGGAAAATTTTCAGCCTATATTTTGGAGAAGTTTGGAAGATATGCTGCAATAGAAAAGAAAATCCATTTTCTGGGGAGAAATAAGTAACGATGAGCCAAATGTTAATCACCAAGACAAAGGGGAAAATGTCTCCAAGGCATGTCAGAGATCTTCATGGCAGCCCCTCCCATCACAGGCCTAGAGGCCTAGGGGAAAAAAAATGTTTCTGTGGGCTGGGGCTCAAGGGCCCCCATGCTGTGTGCAGCTTAGTGACTTGATGCCCTGTGTTCCTGCCACTTTAGCCATGGCTAAAAGGGGCCAACGCACAGCTTGGGCCATGGCTTCAGAGGGTGCAAGCCCCAAGCCTTGGCAGCTTCCACATGGTGTTAAGCCTGCAGGTCCACAGAAGTCAAAAATTGAGGTTTGAGAAACTGCCTAGATTTCAGAGGATGTACGGAAACGCCTAGATGTCTAGACAGAAGTTTGCTGCAGGGGTGGGGCCCTCATGGAGTACCTTTATTAGGACAGTGTAGAAGGAAAATGTGGTGTTGGAGCCCCCACAAAGTCCCTACTGGGGCGCTGCCTAGTAGGGCTGGAAGGAGAGGGTCACCATCTTCCAGATCCTAGAATAGTAGATCCACCAACAGCTTGCACCACGTACCTAGAAAAGACGCATACACTCAATGCCAGCCCATGAAAACAGCCAGGAGGGAGGCTACACCCTGCAAAGCCACAGGTGCAGAGCTGCCCAAGACCATGGGAACCCACCTCTCACATCAGCATGACCTTGATGTAAGACATAGAATCAAAGGAGATCATGTTAGAGCTTTAAGATTTGGCTGTCCTGCTGGGTTTTGGACTTGCATGGGGCCTGTAGCCCTTTTGTTTTGGCCAATGTCTCCCATTTAGAATGAGTGTATTTACCCCATGCCTGTACCCTCGTTGTATCTAGGAAGTAACTGACTTGCTTTTTATTTTACAGGATCATAGGCAGAAGGTACTTGCCTTTTCTCAGATGAGACTTTGGACAGTGAACTTTGGAGTTAATGCTGAAATCAGTTAAAACTTTGGGGGACTGTTGAGAAGGCACGATTGTGTTTTGAAATGTGAAAGGAACATTAGATTTGGAAGGGGCCAGAGGAAGAATGATATGATTTGGCTTTGTGTCCCCACCCAAATATTACCTTGAATTGTAATAATTCCCATGTGTCATAGGAGGGATTCCGTGGGAGGTAATTGAATCATTGGGGTGGGTCTTTCCCATGCTGATCTCATGGTAGGGAAAAGTCTCTTGAGATCTGATTTTTATAAATGGGAGTTCCCCTGCATAAGCTCTCTTGCCTGCTGCCATGTAAGACATCCCTTTGCCTTTGTCTTCTGCCATGATTGTGAGGCCTTCCCAGTTATGTGGAACTATAGTCCAATAAACCTCTTTTCTTTATGTATTACCCAGTCTCGGGTATGTCTTTATTAGCAGCATGAGGATGGACTACCTCTTCAATGCCCAATCACTGAAGAATATCTACTAGCTCAACATCATCCAGGAAAAAGCAACCTCATCAAATGAACAGAATAAGGCAACAGGGACCAATCCTGGAGAAACAGAGATATATGTGACCTTTCAGACAGAGAATTCAAAATAGCTGTGTTAAGAAAACTCAAAGAAATTCAAGATAATGCAGAGAAGAAATTCAGGATTCTATCATATAAATGTAACAAAGAGATTAAAATTGTTAAACAGAATCAAGCAGCAATTCTGTAGCTGAAAAATACAACTGGCATACTGAAGACTACATCAGTCTTAATAGCATAATTGATCAAGAAGAAGAAAGAATTGGTGAGCTTGAAGACCGCCTATTTGAAAATACACAGTCAGAGGAGACAAAAATAAAAAATAAAGCATGCCTATGTGATCTAGAAAACAGCCTCAAAAGGGGAAATCTAAGAGTTATTGACCGTAAAAAGAGATAGGGGTAGAAAGTTTATTCAAAGGGAGAATAACAGATAACTTCCCAAACCTAGAGAAAGATATTAATATCAAATATAAGAAGGTTATAGAACACCAAGCAGATTTAACCCAAAGAAGACAACCTCATGGCATTTAATAATAAAATTCCCAAAGGTCAAAGATAAACAAAGGAACCCAAAAGCAGCAAGAAAAAAAAAAAAACACCGTATACACTGGAGCTCCAATACATCCAGCAGCAGACTTTTCAGCAGAAACATTATAGGCCAGGAGAGAGTGGCATGACTTATTAAAAGTAATGGCAAAAACTGCAATAACTTCTGTACCAACCTAATATTTCAAGTGCTGAAGGAAAAAAACTTTTACCCTAAAATAATATATCCATCAAAAATATCCTTCAAATATGAAGGAGAAATAAAAACTTTCCCAGACAAAGGAAAGCTGAGACATTTCATCAACACAAGACATGTCCTACAAGAAATGCTAAAGGGAGTACTTCAATCAGAAAGAAAAGAACAATAATGAGTAATAAGTAATCACCTGAAGGTACAAAACACACAGGTAATAGTAAGTAAACAGAAAAACACAGAATATTATAACACTGTAATAGTGATGTGTAAACTGCTTTTATCCTAAGTAGAAAGACTAAACAATGAACCAATCAAAATTAACAACTACAACAACTCTTTAGGACATAGACAGTACAATAAGATATAAACAGAAACAACAAAACATTTAAAAGTAGGGGAACAAAGTTATAGAATTTTTGTTACTTTTCTTTTTGCTTGTATGTTTATGCAGTGTTACATTCTTATCAGGTTAAAATAATAGGTTATAAGATAGTTTTTGTCAGCCTCATGGTAACCTCAAACCAAAAAAAATACAATGGATATAAAAAAAATAAAAAGCAAGAAACTAAGTCATATCAATGGAGAAAATCACATTCACTAAAGGGAGACAGGAAGGAAGGAAGGAAAGAAGAGACCACCACAAAACAACCAGACAACAACAACAAAATGGGTGAAGTCCATACTTACCAATAATAACAGTGAATGTAAATGGGCTAAACTCTCCAATCAAAAGATAAAAGGGCTGAATGGATAAAAAACAGACCCATTGATATGGTGTCTACAAGAAACACACTTTACCTATAATGAAACATATAATCTAAAAATAGAGGGATGGAAAAATACATTCCATGTCAATGGAAACAAACAAAAAAGCAGGAGTAGCTACACTTAGATCAGACAAAACAGATCTCAAGACAAAAACTCTAAGAAGAAACAAAGAAAGCCACTATATAATGATAAGGAGGTCAATTCAGTAAGAGGATAGAACGATTTTAAATATATATGTACCCAACACTGGAGCACTCTGATATATAAAGGAAATATCATTAGAGCTTAAGAGAGATATAGGCCCCAATGCAATAATAGCTAGAGACTTCAACTCTCCACTTTCAGCATTGGACCACCACAAAACAACAAATAAATTGTATCAAACTCAATGTCTTCATTGTGATATTGAACTATAGTTTATAAGGAAAGATGTTACCACTGGGGGAAAATATGTGAAAGATACACAGCATCTCTTTGTATTATTTCTTTTCTATTTTTCTCTATTTAATAATAGTTTTAATAAAATAGAGATTGGGTCTTGCTGTGTTGCCTGGGCTGGTCTCAAATTTCTGGACTCAAGTGATCCTCCTGCCTCAGCCTCCCAAAGTGCTGAGATTATAGGCATGAGCCATCATGCTCAGCCTTCTTTGAATATAAATCTACAGTTATCTTAAAAAGTCTAGTGCAGATAAGTGACACAATCAGATCCATCCCTGTCACACGGAACAATTTACCAATCTTCAAATGGCATATATTTTTTTCCACTATTCCCATTCTCTCTCCCTTGCTTCAAGTCCCTCAAGTTCCCAGGTAAAATATGACCTCCTCTCAATATCCTGTGCATTTACCACACTTTTTAAAATTATACTAATATCACATGTACATTATTCCCATCATACTATGACCACTAGGATTTTATCATGTTTCACCTTTGTATCCTTAGCATAGCACTTAGCCTATAGTAAATACTCAAAAAAAGTTTATTAAGATGATAAATCTGCAACTCTAGCTACATGTACAACACACACACACACACACACACACACACACACCAATTTTATGAAATACCAATCATAAAAATGTCAGGTGTAGAAGAATGTGCTCCAAGCTGATGGCCAAATCAGGAACATACCCTATTCCTAACTGCCACAAAAAGAATACCTAGGAATATAGCTAGCAATATAGCTAGGAATACCTGGGAATGTAGCTAACTAGGGAGGCGAAAGATTTCTATAAGGAGAACTGCAAAACACTGCCCAAAGAAATCAGAGATGACACAAACAAATGAAAATATTCCATACTCATGAATAAGAAGAATCAATATCATTAAAATGGCCATACTGCCCAAGGCAATTTATAGAGTCAATGCTATTCCTATTAAACTACCATTGAGGTTCTTCACAGAACTAAAAAAACTATTTTAAAATTCAAATGGAACCAAAAATAACCTGAATAACCAAGGCAATCCTAAGCGAAAAGAGCATCCTAAGCTCAAGGCATCACACTACCTGACTTCAAACTATACTAAAGGTCTATACCACAACAGCATGGTACTCCACAAGAACAGATACATAGACCAATGGAACAATAGAGAACACAGAAATAAGACCACACACCTACAACTATCTGATTTTTGAAAAAACTGACATAAGCAATGAGGAAAGAATTCCCTATTCATTAAATAGAACTAGGATAATTGGCTAGCCATATGCAGAAGACTGAAACTGGATGCCTTCCTTAAAGCATATACAAAAATTAACTATAGATGAATTAAATACTTAAATGTAAAACTCAATATAAAAACCCTGAAGACAACCTAGGCAATACCATTCAGGACATAGGCATGGGCAAAGATTTTATGACAAAGACGCCAAAAGCAATTGCAACAAAAGCAAAAATTGACAAATGGGATCTCTCTAAACTAAAGAGCTTCTACACAGCAAAGGAAACTATCAACAGAGTAAACAACCTATGGAATGGGAGAACATGTCTGCAAACTATGCATCAAACAAAGATCTAGTATCCAGCTTCTATAAGGAATTTAAACAAATTTACGTAAAAAAATTTAAAAGTAGGTAAAGGACATGAACAGACACTTTCAAAAGAAGATATATATGTGGCCAACAATCTTATGAAAAAAATCTCAACATTAATTATCATTAGAGAAATGCAAATCAAAACCACAATGAAGTACCATCTGACACCAGTCAGAATGGCTATTAGTAAAAAGTCAAATAACAGATGCTGGTAAGGTTGTGGAGAAAAAGGAAGGCTTATATATTGTTGATGGGAGTGTAAATTAGTTCAACCACTGTGGAAGACAGTGTGGCAATTCCTCAAAGACCTAAAGACAGAAATACCATTTGATATAGCAATCCCATTACTGAGTATATACTCAAAGGAATATAAATCATGCTGTTATAAAGACACATGCACGTGTGTGTTCATTGCAGCGCTATTCACAATAGCAAAGATATGGAATCAACCTAGATGCCCATCAATGATAGACTGGATAAAGAAAATGTGGTACATATATACTGTGGAATACTATGCGGCCATAAAAAAGAATAAGTTCATGTCCTTTGCAGGGATGTGGATGGAGCTGGAGGCCATGATCCTCAGCAAACTAACATAGGAACAGAAAAACAAATACATCAGGTTCTCACTTATAAGTGGGAGCTAAATGATGAGGACACGTGGATACATAGAGGGAAACAACACACAGTGGGCCCTATTAAAGGGTGGAGGATAGGAAGGAGGGAGAGGATCAGGAAAAATAACTAATGGGTGTGAGGCTTAATATCTGGATGATGAAATAATCCATACAACAAACCCCTATGACACAAGTTTACCTAAGTAACAAACCTGCACATGTACCCCTGTACTTAAAATAAAAGTTAAAAGTGAATAAATTAAAATGTAAATTCTGCTGGAAAAAAAAAAAGAATATGCTCACCAAAGTTAAAAGGAAACTTAAATACTGTCTCGCCTTATTATGGATTTAAAGTCACCCAAGCATCCAACTTATCTAAAGGATAAGTACCTTTAAAAGGCCAAAAATATAATAGTCTTGTCATTTTAGGTTTCCATAAGTTATATATTCATAAGACAAAAAAAGCATAACTCAACTAGCCTAAGAAAAGTGAAAGTAAACAACTGATTCATGTTTTCTTACCAATACAGAAGTAAAGGTTTTAAAACCTCAGACTGAATATTTCTTAAATGCTCTTCATTCCACTGAGATCCATCTAACAGTTTAAATTTTGATAAGATTTCTGTAGAAAGGTAGTAATCTCCATTGCTTACTAGATAGCATTTTTTCATCTTCTCAAGATGTCTGAAAGAAAACACATTTCCACATATACACACACACATTGATAGAATTCAACTACCAAAATATTTTCACATCTAAAACATTTCGGACAAGTAATGAACAATCTCAAAACCAACACTGAGTGTCAGAGGTACCAAACATTTATGGAGAGGTAAAGATATTTCTCACAGTTATGCAAATAGGAAGGGTATCTGTGACAAGCTAAATAAATGGCCTTGCAAAGATGTCTACATTCTAATTTCTAGAACTTGTGTCTAAGTTACCGTTCATGTCAAAGGGAACTCTCCAGATGTGCTTACGTTAAAGTCTTTAAAGAGATCTCCTATATTATCTAGATGGTCCCATTGTAATCACAAGGATCCTTCTAAGAGAGAGGCAGGAAAGTCAGCATCATGGAGAAAAGATGTGAGGATAGAGCAGAAGTCAGAGAGAAGAGTGTGTGCTGCTGGCTTTGAAGATGGAGAAAGAGCCCATGAACCAAGGCCTGCATTAGATGGAAAAAATAGGGAAATCGATTACCCCTAGAACCTTCTGACTTCCAGAACTGTACGAGAATAAATAAAACTCTGTTGCTATTGGCTGGGTGCGGTAGCTCACGCTTATAATCCTAGCACTTTGGGAGGCCAAGGTGTGCAGATCACGAGGTCAAGAGATTGAGACCATCCTGGACAACATGGTGAAACCCCTTCTCTACTAAAAAAATACAAAAATTAGCTGGGCGTGGTGGCGTGCACCTGTAGTCCTAGCTACTTGGGAAGCTGAGGCAGGAGAATTGCTTGAACCTGGGAGGCGGAGGTTGCAGTGAGCTGAGATTGCGCCACTGCACTCCAGCCTGGTGCCTGGTGACAAAGCAAGATTCTGTCTCAAAAAAAAAAAACAAAACTCTGTTGCTTTAACCCTCTAAGTTTGTGGCAATTTGTTACAGCAACACAGGGAACTACAGTGTTGATCCTGAAAAACCTATGTAGTTACTTGCATACAAACTACCCTGATACGCCTTCAAAAGTGGTAATGATCAATCAGGTCATTACCTGATAATCAACCATTTAGTGACCTCTGCTCTTATAACTATTTACAACAATGAGGTTTGTGATCTGAATGTCATTAAAATAAGTGAAATAACCCAGTGACTAATATACTCAGTCAAATCCTTAAAGGAAATTGCAATCTACTATAGTTGATCTGCTTCAGAGCAGGTTAGGAGAATAAAGACAAGTTAAAGACTTTCCTAAAACAGGGTTCTCTTAAGGTTCTTCAACTTACAGTAATCTAAAACATATAGAGCTGACCAAATAAAGACCTGAGCCTCATCAGACCTCCAAGAAGTTCTCTAGCGAAGAGACTCATCCAGATACCCAGCTACATGGCATCCAACCAAACATTACGGAATTTGGAATTTGTTAACCAGGCTGCTAGGAAGAGCAGGTGTCTACTTGCTATTGTGGTTTTAACTGATAAGTTATTTTATTCTATAAAAATTATACATCATTTTAATGTTATAAAAGTGAAAACAGAATAATTAATTTGAAAGTAGTTCTAGAATGTATTGGCAGAAACATTATGTAACCCCAAATAATTCTTATCACTTAGCACTTGAAAACTATGAAATCAGAAAACTAGTATAATCAATATATTTATTATAATAAAATAAGTTTTATTATCATTAATTCCTCCAAGAGTAAAAAATTATATTTTTTTCAATTTACTTCAGGCTTTCTCCCTGTACTAAATAACCCAAATTAATATTAATGATTTGTTTTTAAAACTATTGAAAAATAAAAAATAGAATTACCTTTGATTTCTTCCAGGGTCCTTAAGAACTTTTAACCTCTCAATATCCATCCATAGCCACCAATATCTCTCCCCCAATGTACCTTTTATAAATTTCTTAAATCTTTCAAACTCCTTTCTGTTGCCGATGTCGTAGGTTCTGTGAGAAACACACCAGTCAGCCCTGCTCTCTGGTCCAGTGCTCTCACTCTTTGAACTTAAACTCGCTTCTTCTGCTGCCTCTTCTGACCTCTCCTTTGCAGTTTGAACTAATTCACTTAAAAAATTCTTGCCAGGAATAGACTCAAAACCATCACCAAATGACACTTTTGTTATATTGTTGAAGTTTATATAGTCTTGAGTTTCTCCAACTGACTTTCCAACAATTTGCTGAATTGCTTTTCTCAAAATAAAGTATATATAGGAATTTAAAAATTCTTTATATGTTGAGAAATGCACTGTCCGGCTTTCATCAACCTCCTGTTTCTTTTCAAGATATATTCTCAAAAGAGCTTGAGAAGGAGTGTCTTGCAGAGATACAGACACTTCTTCTTCGTCGTCATCTTCTTCAAATTCAGAAATTAATTTGGTGGTTTTAGATGGGTCGTTTTTTGTCCTAGGGTGAACTCCATCGTCAAAGATAAAATCCTCTGTATTAAGTCATAAAAAGCTATTAGATTAGATATAAATACAAACCTTTCTTCTTAATAAATAGATGCTACAGAGCTAGGACAGCATATGGGTTTATCACAGGTAGTGACTGCAGCGACCAGCATCTTAAGGATTCTGGGCCTGTTGCGGTGGCCCCCAGAACTTTAGGAGGCTGAGGTGGGCAGATCACTTGATCCGCCAGACCAGCCTGGTCAACATGGTGAAACCACGTCTCTACTAAAAATACAAAATTTAGCCAGGCGTGGTGGCATGGTGATCCTAGCTACTTGGTAGGCTAAGGCACAAGAATCTCTTGAACCCAGGAGGTGGAGGGTGCAGTGAGCCAGGAGCATGCCACTGCACTCCAGCCTGGGTGATAGAGCGAGACTCTGTCTCAAAAAAATAGAAAAAAGCAAAGAAGAATTCTGATGCTACATTTGGAACCAGTAGGAAAAAAAACTACCAATGGGAATTAATAACCTTGTCTTCCCTGGATTTAGAAGGAAAGAATAGTGGCAGATGGACTAAATATTTGACATCCCTAACAACAGAAGGTATTAAAAAATACATTATATACTTTTAAAATGTAATATTCCAGACTGATATATAATGTCAATATATAAGGGCCAAATATATTAAGGAATTAGAATATGTATACTAAACGATTATATGTGCTTTGATATTACATGTTGTATGATAAAAGAAAACTACTGTAGATGATGAGACCATATATGAACAGACCAGAACTGGAGACAATAATAGCAATTTCTAAAATTCATCATTTCATTAAAAGATTTAATTACTATCATACTTACAGTCTATCATTCAAGTTACAAAATGGCACAAAGTATTTATGAAGGTTTACAAAGGGATTATGTGTATGCTTTTTCTATAGTATTCAGCTCCTATTTTCCCTTTCAAAAATCAGTGACATGTCTGACATTAGCACTTTATTTCACATAGTAAATCTACCCCTTGAATTGCCACAGATCAGCTAGCTGTTGTCATCAATGTTCCATTCTCAATGACCATTTTCTCAATTACCAGAGTTCAAATCTCAAAGAACTGGACATTTCATTACAATTTTTGTTGCAAGTAAATTCCCCAGCATTGAGAGATTAGACTTAGTAAATCTGTGAGAGGATGCTGAGTATACACTCAATTCCATGAAGCTGAAGGGAGGATGTTGCAGAGAGCAAGGCAGGCATTCCAGCTCACCACCTCCTGCCATCCTTTCTGCCTGTATACTATTTTTATCTCCAATTATCTACTTCAATATTTCAGGAAAACAACAAGAAGCCTATGAATCCAGTTATTTTCAATTAGGGAGATTATCTTCTTCTTTACCTGGACTTAGGTTCAATTGTAGGGAATTCAGATTTACCTTCCCAGAGGTTGCTTACACTTCTCAAAGAGATTAGTTAGGAACTGTAAGTCAATTCTCGAGTTCTCCTCCTGAGTCATCACACCTAGATTTTTTTCTATAACAGTATCACAGTTAATGACTCCCATTTCTGGAAGATTCCTTTTATTTTATGAAAAGTCTGTATATCCACAAAGCTCCCCACAGTAGAAATTTTTCTGCTTTTTAAGGTGAAAAATAGTCTGAACTTAAAAACAGAAGGGAAACTCAATTTCCATCAATAATTATTTTTTTAGGATGAGAAAAATGTTGTACCCACTTTATTGCAAAGACTTAGTAAGAATTTGTAAATTGTGATAAGAAATAATGACATTTATTGCATATAGGTACCAGGCACCAGGCCAGGCATTTTCCGTACATTTAGTATATATCATTATTCTAATTTTACAGATGAGAAAAGGCCAGGCTCCCAGAAGTGGAAAAACTCATCAAACATCACACAGCTAATAAATATCAGAATTGTATTCCAAACCCATCTCCTTTTTACTATACAAAGTTGTCTCTCAAAAAGCAGTAGGAAGTGGAGTGGGGCAAAGGGTATGCGGATAATTTTTTTCTCCCCAACCACTAAGTACAGTACTATAAAATTAGAACAAACAAACAAAAACTTAAAGAGACGTTCTGAAGTCATTCTTGGCCTTTTCTGCTTACCAGAAACAGATGAAATAGCTGGTGACTCAAGTTTGTTGTAGGGTACGCAAGAGGGTAATGAAAAGGTTGATACTGTTTGCTGACTTTGTTTTGCTAATGCAAACCAACTTTTTGTTTGAGTATAGGAAGCCTAGGAAGACAGGAGCTTATTAGTTTAACATATGATTAGCAGTATTACTCTGATCACAAACCTGGAGAAATCATTATGATAATATTCAACTTGCACAGTATAATATGTAAAGTGAAAATTACCTCATGAAGGAAAATAAAATTGTACTTCAAAAACTCATTAGCTAAAAGGACATTGAAGGAAATCTCAATCCAGATTTTTTTCATATTTGATAACCAAAGGAAAATATGTGTCCAATACCTATAAATTATCCAACTCTCACTCTCAGGCTATTGTGGACCAAAGGCATGAAACCCTGCTTCCTGGATTCGCTACAAATTCATGCCATCTGACTTCAACTTGGCAGTCACCAGGCCCATCAATCCTTTTGCTAGCTGCTCCCCTTTACAACTTTCTCAATTACTTCAGATCCCTCATTCTGTCTCACCTGGCTCAGTATTCTTAACAACTGCTGCTCCAATATGGCAGAGACACTATTCTTAGTGCCACTGGACCCTCTCTGACCTCAGCTGCCCCTTTGCATTAGATTCAGTTTTCACAAGTTTGCTCTGATTGAATGCTTCTTGCAGAATGATACCTGACTCCATCTGCCTCTGAACGCAGCATTCCACTTTTCCTTTCCTTTGTGTACCCCTGAACTAGCCAATTCAATCTGAAGCTGATCCTTAGCTTTTAGAACCCCAGCTCTAAGAAGCTCCTATCCTAGCCTTCTTGGGAAAATTCCTCTGCCTGCCTCTCTCTGTAATGTCCTCTTTTATTTTTACTTTAAAATCCAAGTTGTTCGACAAGAGTAGAGGAGGGAGTATCCGGCATTCCTCTCATGTCTCATTTATCCAACTGAGTTAGCTGGTTGGCCAGCACTTAGCCTAAGAAATATCTGCAAAATATGGAAGAAAAAGTACTCCATCTATTATATAGAATTAACATGGCAAGTCAAGCCACGTAAGGAGACCAAAACAAGAGAGAGAAATGAGAGATGGCATCTATGTGGTCACCGTCCCTCTTAGAGGTAAGGTTTCCTGGGTGAATAAAAGCTATCAAAAACTCATTCACTTTTGTTCCCCTTTTCCTTTAAAATCAAGTTATTTATTATTAATTATATGTCCATCTAACATATAATTATCAAGTGACTACTTTATTCTAAGCAATAGCCTAAGCAATGACAGAAAGCCAAAATAATTAAGAAACATTCAAGGAATTGAGAGAGACCAACATACAAATGTTCTTGCCATTTTGCCTGCAAAAAAAGAACAAGGGGGTAGAACACAGGGGAGAAAGAAGTCACTAGTCAGACTTTGACATAATTATTCCACTTCATACTTTTAAGAGATGGGTCAATTGTTTTTTAGATGGTACAACTTGAAGCTCAAAGAAATACTATCAATTATCATGAAGATTAACCCCTATGTATAGTCATGACTTAAATAATTTAAGGGTCCAAGAACTTTGAATCTGCAAAATTCAAAGGCTATTGAAAAATGGTAATATATAGTTAAACTGGCTGTGTGCGGTGGCTCACGCCTATAATCCTAGCACTTTGGAAGGCCAAGGTTGGAGGATTGCTTGCATCCAGGAGTTCAAGACCAGTCTGGGCAACACAGACCCTGTCTCTATGAACAATTTTAAAAATTTAGCCACGCATGGTAAAGCACTCTTGTAGTCCCAGCTACTTGGGAGGCTGAGCCGAGAGAATTGCTTGAACCGGGGGGTTTGAAACTGCAATGAGCCATTATTGCATCATTGTACTCCAGCCTGGGGAACACAGTAAGACCCTGTCTCAAAAAAAAAAAAATGTATATATACACTGTTGAAGTATTACTCAAGTAAATACAAATGAGTTTTTTCATCTCAGAAAATAGCAAAAGTAAACTAGTTTGGATTTTAACTTCCTTATATTTAATTAAATTCACATATAGCAAATCAGAACTTCTTCCCATGGATTCTTCCCTTTGCATGTTTATTTACCTCAACCATGAGTACATATTTTTATGACATTTCCATAGTATATAAGTTAAGAGAAAAAATATGGCCCTGCATAGTGGCTCACACCTGTAATCCCAACATTTTGGTAGGCCAAGGTGGGTGAATTGCTCAAGTTCAGCAGTTCAAGACCAGCCTGAGCAACATGTCAAAACCCTGTCTCTACAAAGATACACAAAAATTAACAGGACGTGGTAGCACATGCCTGTATTCCCAGCTACTTGTGGGGGCTAAGGCAGGAGGATCCCTCGAACCTTGGAAGGTCAAGGCTGCAGTGAGCTGGGATTGTACCACCGTACTACAAGATGGTTGACAAAGTGAGACCCTGTCTCAAAAAAAAAAAACCACCCTAAAAATCAGTATAAGAAAGAAGAAAAATGTGCCTTAAATATGCCACTAAGCATTATTCAGTGGAAATAATAGAAATGGCATAACTGTAAACATTTTTTGACAAATATTCCTGATACAAATGCTGAACTATAAAATTTATAGGAAACACACACGAAAAAAAAAGGTCAAGTAACCTAAGTGTCTCTATTCCAACACAGACGGCAAAGAGGCTTCCTCTTGTATGAGAGTTTTGATGAATTGGAAGCACCTTATTTGCAAGTAAGACTTAAGGTTAAAAAAAAAAAAAACTGCAAGTGCCTACACTGAATACTGTGTTGTAAAGAATCGAGCCAAATTCTAGCTCAGCAGAAAAATTTCCACAATTGATTAACAGTGACTGTCATAGAGGGAGTAGCAGCACAAGGGCTATATATCTGCCATTCCTGATTTTCTATAGAATTATGTATTAGAAGTATAGTTTCAGAGATAACATCTAATAATTAGAGCCCAAAGATCAAACAACAGTTCTCACTACACTAGGAATCTCCATAAGGACTTTTGATTCTAGGATATATCTCTTCAAATGCTCTCATATAACCTCACAATTCTCTAACCATGGAGGACAAATTTATTTGATAATACTTAAACAATAATAAATGCTAAGGAATAATCTAGAGAATAGGAAGGAGAAGACTCAATTTATCATATTTTTGTACAAACGTAATAGAAACCAAATCATAGGAATTTTGTGATGAACAATGAAACTGTGGATATAATTCAAGTTACTCTTGCTTCCCAGGTGACAAGCATGTTTTTCAACCTTGCCTTTGTCTCTTCAGACATGAGGATAATATTTCTAATTACATTTCAAGTGAAAGAGAGCAGAGTAAATTAGTCCGCATAAATCTATAAGAACTATTGCTAAATCTGCTTTACATGTATTTGAAATCATTTTCTCCATTCAGGTAATACAAATGCCTTAACGTGAGAAGTTTCAGCCAGGCATGGTAGTTCCCACCTATAATCCCAGCACTTTGGGAGGCAGAGGTTGGTGAACTGCTTGAGCCCAAGAGTTCAAGACCAGCCTGGGCTACATGGTGAAACCCTGCCTCTACAAAAAATGCAAAAAAAAAAAAGGTAGCCAGGCATGGTGGTGCATGTCTGTAGCCCCAGCTATCTGAAGGCTGAGGTGGGAGGATCACCTGAGCCCGGGAGGTAGAGGCAGTGAGCTGTGATCACACCACTGTACTCCACCCTGGGTGACAGAGCAGTGAGATCCTGTTTCAAAAAATATATACATAAAATAAAAAATAAAATGAGAAGTTTCATTGAAGTGTAAGTGATGAAAAAATACTCATACTTTTTACCTCGCCAAGTGATATGTAGAACTTTTTCTTAATTATAAGATTATCTTCTTCAGTGGCAGGAGGTGGTAGACTGGGTGGTTTTTTCATGATCCAGGGAGAAAAATTTGATCCTACTGTGAAATTCATGCCAGACTTGCTCCATCTTACTTGTGAGACCAATTTGGCTAACCTGCATTTTAGAAATCATACAATTTTAAAAGTTTCAAATACAGCAGAATTTAGTGGGAAAAAAACCTAAAATTTTATTTTAGGTATTCAAGCCAATCTCCTCTCCTCACTCTTATGATTTTCTTTGGCTCTGATAAAATTAATAGCTTAATCATAAATAGTTTTAATCATAAAACTACTAATTAGTTAACTATTCAGTTTTGGATTTTAACTGATTTTGACTTAAAAATGGTTGTTCAGGCCGGGCGCGGTGGCTCACGCCTGTAATCCCAGCACTTTGGGAGGCCGAGGTGGATGGAACACCGAGGTCAAGAGATCGAGACCATCCTGGTCAACATGGTGAAACCCCGTCTCTACTAAAAATACAAAAAATTAGCTGGGCAAGGTGGCGCATGCCTGTAATCCCAGCTACTCAGGAGGCTGAGGCAGGAGAATTGCCTGAACCCAGGAGGCGGAGGTTGCGGTGAGCCGAGATCACGCCATTGCACTCCAGCCTGGGTAACAAGAGCGAAACTCCGTCTCAATTAAAAAAAAAAATGGTTGTTCAGAGGTCGAATTTTCAGTCAGGGAACATAAAGGAAAAATTTGGCCCTGGACCACGGCATCCTATCTTTTTCGTGTCACCCTTGTATTCATTGTTAAACACCCTGCACCTAAATACCATTATCACCAATAGATAATTTTTTATATATGGCTAGTTGTAGAGGCTCACACATGTAATCCCAGTGCTTTGGGAGGCTAAGGCGGGAGGCCCTCTTGAAGCCAGGAGTTCGAGACCAGCCTGGGCAATATAGCAAGATCCTATCTCTACAAAGAATTTTAAAAATTTGCCACACATGGTGGCACACAGCTGTAGTCCTAGCTAATTGGGAGGCTAAGGCTGGAGGATCATTTGAACCTAGGAATTTGAGATTATGGGGAGCTATGATTGTGCCAGTGTACTCCAGCCTGGGCAACAGAGGAAGACCCTGTCTGAATGAATAAATAAATAAATAAGTAACCAAAGAAGTATAACTAAAGTACGTTTATTAGGTATTGTTTCTATAAAATGTTGCCAGAAAAGTTAAGTGACTTTTACGTACATTCTGTCACTCTTATTCTATATCAGCTGGGATCCAAACCTCAAATAGATTAAAAGGTATACATACAATTTTACTAAGAAACCATAGAAAAATAATTTTAGGTGAAAAAATACGTATTTGAAAATATATGTATTGATGGGACTAGTACCTGTATTCAAAGTAGCAATCACTTTCCAGAAATGCTGGAAGTCTTTCTTTTTTGATCCACTTAATACCTTCTTCACGACTGAGACACTATGTGAAAAAAGAGAAAAGGGAAAAGAAAGTCAATGAAAATCACTTTTAGGACAATTAGCACCTAGCCATTAGAGTACTAATGACCTCTAGCTGTCAGCAGGAGCCCTACCCCTGGGTCTCCTATTTCCACTGGAGAGGTCAATAACCCTGAGCCACAAATGTGAGGCCCTTCTTGCCTCTGCTATGCGTTTAATTCTCTTAACAATCCTGTATCGACTGTATATTACCATAATTTTTATAGATTAACAAATTGAATCCAGAGAAGTTAAGTAACTTGTTGAAGGAGGAAGAATGAGAAAAAAAAAAGCCAATCAATCTCAATATTTTCACAGTCACAAAATGGGTTAAAAATAATCACAAACAGAAAAAGACCACCAAGAAAACTTGGTAAGGCCACCAATGTCACTGCAGGCCCTTTGTTCTTCAAGTTAAAAAAAAAAAATTAAACTATTTAACCTCTCCAGGCACTCTCTTGAAGATACAAAAGTTAACATTATAGTAGAGTGTTACAAGTGCCACAGTGTAGGTGTCTGTGGGATCCTACAGACATACTCAACTCAGGAGTGGTTTCCTACAGAACACACCCTTCACTTTTTGACCTGAAGCAAGATTAGCTAGGTTGAATAGGAAAGCAGAAGAGGAAAACCGTAAGTATAGCAGTATTAGGCCGCAGGATGAGATTCAAGGGACAGAGAAAGGAAGGCTGGAGAAGTACGCAGGGTCATGATTGCAAACAGCCTTTTAAATAACATTAAGGAGTATAGATTTTATCTTCAGGTTGTGAGAGCAATACAGAATTACTGAACAGTTACTGTTGTTCATCCTAAAATATTTACTCACTATTGATTCTATTTCTCCTTGTATTCACTTTTTCCAGAATTCTAAAGAAAACCAGTACCTTAGACATAAAGCATATGTTACTAATAAATAAAACAATCTCAGTGAGGTGAATGTGTTTGCATTTATGTGGCTTCTATGGATGATCTAAGGCAATAGTTTGGCGATGGTATTAGCAAAAGAGTTAACACATCGACCATTATTAACTCTAACGAGGAAATTGAATGTCCACACAGTAGTGCTGCCAACATCTAATGTGCTGATGCTCATGAGGGTGATGTGTGCTCATCATTGCTGATATGCACAGAAGTCTTCGGGCTCTCAGGATGGGAAAGTGGACAGTAAAATATTTTCCTTCTGTTCAGCAAGAAAAAAAAAAAAAATTCACTTGCCTTCACCAAATACTGTATTCTGCATAATGAAAGAATAGAAGAAAACCATGGAAATAGCCAGCACCTAATCAGCAGCATCTTGTTGACTGTCTCACTGCTTATCAGCGAGATCTGAAGGACATTTGATCTTGTAGTTAGAAAGACTCCGCACAGGCTACACACTGACAACCATGCAGGACTCCTGAACTCCCATTAGTACTACATTCAATGTATCACAGAAAGATACCAAACTACATATAAAGAGCCACATAAACCCTTAAAGAACTATAAGGTTGTCAAACTAGTCAGCTCATTGAAAACCAATCTGCTAAATATTCAGCTAGTGAACAGTTTAACTATAATTCATTCTCTTTTGAATGTTTTTTGTACCTATTTGATCCAAAAATAAAATGAATGAAAAAGTTTAAAAAGAATAAAATCAATAATTGAAGAAAAGTCTTTAGCCAAGCTGAAAACAAAACTCTTCAAGGTTTTAAAAAGTAACTAAATATAAAGACCAAAAACATACAAAACAATCCTGTTCAACCATAAAATAACTTAATAAATACTTACACGAAACACAAAAAGGATCTATCTAAGGTGAAATTATTTAAACCTTAAAAAAAAATTTTAAGTTGGTTAAGAAACAGAAAGGGATGACCAGAAAGTCAAGTCATTTACCTATGGCTTTAGGTAAATCAATATAGAACTATTTCCAAATAGCCATACCTGAGCTGTCTTAAATACCTACAGAATTGATTAATAAAAAATTATGGCTGGGCACGGTGGCTCATGACTGTAATCCCAGCACTTTGGGAAGCCAAGGTGGGCGGATCATGAGGTCAGAAGGTAGAGACCATCCAAGCCATCGTGGTGAAACTCTACCTCTACTAAAATATAAAAAATTAGCTGGGCGTGGTGGTGCACACCTATAGTCCCAGCTACTTGGGAGGCTGAGGCAGGGGAATCACTTGAACCCAGGGGATGGAAGTTGCAGTGAGCCAAGATCACACCACTGCACTCCAGCCTGGTGACAGAGCAAGACTCCATCCCCCCAAAATATATTATATTTAGATGTACAAGGCAAACAAATAAAGCATGGCTAGCAGCCAATAGATCTTATTGTTTAGTCAGATTTATTGAGGTATAAATTACATACAGTGAAATCCACCCTTTTAAATACACTTCTACAAGTTTTGACAAATGCATATAATCATGTAACCAGGAATATAATCAACGTACAGAATAGTTCCAACACCCTCCAAATTTCCTCATGCCACTTTGTAGTCAGCAATGCCCTCCAACCCTAGGCTCTGGCAACCACTGACCTGTTCCATAGCTGTGCCTTCTCTAGACTGTCATATAAATGGAATCAATATAGTATATACTTTTGATTCTAGTATTTTTCATTCAGCATAAAGCATTTAAGATCGATCTATGTTTTTTTATGTATAAATACTTCATTCTTTTTTGTTGCTAAGTAATATTCCACTGTATAGATATACCACAGTTTGTTTATCCATTCCCTTGTTAAAGGATTCTGGATAACTTCCAGCTTTTGTGATCATGAATAAAGAAACTATAGACATTTGCATGCAGGGTTTTGTGTAAATATAACTTTTCATTTCTTTTGGGTAATACTGAGGAGTAGAATAGATAGGCAGTGATATGGCATGGATATTTGCCTCCTCCAAATCTTATATTGAAATTTTATCCCCAATGTTGGAAGTAGGGCCTGGTGGGAGATGCTTTGGTCATGAAAGCAAATCCCTCATGAATGTCTGAGTGTCATCCCAATGGTAATGAGTGAGTTCTCACTTTGTTAGTTCATACAAGACCTGGTTGTTTAAAGAGCCTGGCACCTCGCACTCTCTCCCTGGCCACCTCTCTAGCCATGTGATATACCTCTCTCTCTTTGTCTTCTACCACGATATGGGAGCTTACTGAGGCCCTCACCAGAAGCAGATGCTAGTGCCATGCTTCTTATACAATCTGCAGAACCATGAGTCAAATACATCTCTTTTCTTTATATATTACCCAGTTTTGAGTATTCCTTTACAGGAACACAAATGGACTATAGATGGTATTGGTATATGTTTAACTTGGAAAGATATGCCAAACTGTTTTCCAAAATGGACTTCTCACCAATCAGAATGGACATTTTGGGTTGCTTCCTCTTTTTGGCTATTATGAATGATGTTACCATGAACATTCGTATATAAGTTTTTGTGTCAACATATATTTTCAATTATCTTGAGTATATACCTAGAAGTGGCATTTCTGGGTCATATAACTCACAGGCTAACATCTTAAGAACTGCCTAATACAAAAGAAACAGTCACTAGAGTGGATCGGCAACCAACAGAATGGGAAAAAATTTTCGCAGTCTACCCATCTGACAAAGGGCTGATATCCAGAATTTACAAACAACACAAGCAGATTTACAGGAAAAAAACAAACAAGCCCATTCAAAAGTGGGCAAAGGATATGAACAGATACTTTACGAAAGAAGACATATATGAGGCCAACAATCATATGAAAAAATGCTCATCGTCACTGGTCATCAGAGAGATGCAAATCAAAACCACATTGAGATACCATCTCACGCCAGTTAGAATGGCAATCATTAAAAAATCTGGAGACAACAGATGCTGGAGAGGATGTGGAGAAAAAGGAACACTTTTACACTGTTGGTGGGAGTGTAAATTAGTTCAACCATTGTGGAAGACAGTGTGGCGATTCCTCAAGGCCTTAGAAATAGAAATTCCATTTGACCCAGCAATCCCATTACTGGGTATATATCCAAAAGACTATAAATCGTTCTACTATAAGGACACATGTACACGGATGTTCATTGCAGCACTGTTTACAATAGCAAAGACCTGGAATCAACCCAAATGCCCATTGATAATAGACTGGATTGGAAAAATGTGGCACATATACACCATGGAATATTATGCAGCAATCAGAAATGATGAGTTCGTGTCGTTTGTAGGGACATGGATGAATCTGGAAAACATCATCCTCAGCAAACTGACACAAGAACAGAAAATGAAACACCGCATATTCTCACTCATAGGTGGGTGATTGTAAATGAGAACACATGGACACAGAAAGGGGAGTACTAAACACTGGGGTCTATTGGGGGGGAAAGGGGAGGGCCAGTGGGAGGGGGAGGTGGGGAGGGATAGCCTGGGGAGAAATGCCAAATGTGGTGAAGGGGAGAAGAAAAGCAAAGCACACTGCCATGTGTGTACCTACGCAACTGTCTTGCATGCTCTGCTCATGTACCCCAAAACCTATAATCCAATAAAAAATAAAAAAAAAAAAAGAACTGCCTAATAATATTTTCCAAAGTAGCTGCACCATCTTACAATTGCACCGGCAGTGTATGAGGGTTCAAATCCTCACAAACATTTGTTATTATTTGCCTTTTTTTAATCATAGCCATCCTGTTGGGTGTGAAGTGGTGTCTCATTGTGGTTTTGATTCCATTTCCCTTATGACTAATGATGTTGAAAATCTTTTTATGTGCTTATTGTTTATCTTCTCTGGAGAAATGTCCATTCTAAACCATTTGCAGATTTTAAAACTGGGTTATTTGTCTTTTGATTTTTGAGTTATTTTATTTTATTTTATTTTTTGATTTTTGAGTTTTAAGAGTTCTTTTTACAGTTTAGATACAGGTCCATATCAAATTTATGACTTGCAAATATTTTCTCTCATTCTGTGGGTTGTCTTTTTACTTTCTTGGTAGTGTCTTTTAGAACATTAAAATTTTGCATTTTG